GCTACAATCACCTACGACATGCCGCTACTTCCACCACCCTTTATGTTTTCTTTTTTGGTAACCGAGGCGTCCGGGCCAGCTTGCGCGCACCTTGACTATTTCTTGGGGAAGACTAGCACAGCAACCCACCTCCGTGGCCCCCCACTTAAATCACAAGTGCTCAGCCGAGAAATCGAACCTGGGACCAGTGCGCCTAACCACACAATCCCAAGTACGCCCTAACCAACTAAGCAACCCATGGGTGGGTTCCACCACCTCTATGTTTGCATAGCACAATACCTAAATTCACTTTAATTTCGAAACAACAACATCCATTCTAGTATCCCAAGGGCACATATGTTAGGAGCAAAAAGGTAGAGGAGAAACCCACCTTCTGAAAATCGGAAAGACATGCAAGTTACTAATCATACGGTCTCTCCCCTGGAGATCTCAAGTCGTGCATCCCTCATGTAAGATTTCCCGTTCCAATGCTGGCGGCGCGATCTCATATCCGATTTCACACGAATGAGAGGATTTGCCGAAATTGATAAATGATGAATGATTGATGGAGCAAGTTATTGCAAAGAACTCGAAATGACATGTTGATCTCCCCACAGGTGGCACTATCAATCTTCTGGCTTCATCACCCCTCTCCCTCTCGCTCTTTTATCTTTCACACACAGACGCACCCGTCAACAATGGACCACAGCATCATAAGAAAAGATTGTTATATCTTATCCCATCGGCATCACTGGAATTGAAATATCAGGAATCAAATCATGTTGAATAATATTCGTATAGCAGCTACTTCATACACTGTTTGAGCACGACTTGCCATTAGCTGTCGATTGAAAAAACAAGTCACATTAGGGGCGCATAAACCCTGCAGAAAGCAATGTGTGCTATCGACTAATTGAGATATAATGTTGGAGTCATATCTATACTTAAACAATCTCAAGTAGGAAATGGACTATGGTCAAGGGGAGAAGAGAGAACTAATTAAGAAAAGCTATCAAAATCCCATGAAGTTGTAGGTTGATATGGACTTTGCATGTGTAGGTTGCTTCCATCAGTTGTGGAACTGGACTTGAGCCCATGAAGTTGCAAAATCCACTTGTTTATGATGGGCCTCCTATTAGGGTTATGAAAAATGAAGGATTTGGAAATCATTATTCTAAAAATGATTACTTGTATCGCTTACAAAAAGGAATGAAAGAAAAATATTTAGACATGAATTATCATTTTTTTGTCAAAAGACATGAATTGTTGTTGGTAATTGAAAAAAAGATTTCACTGACTAATTATTTTAAACTATATAAGCGATTTTTTTTTAGGAAACTGTTTTCCAAAAAACAGACCCTAAAATCAGAGTGTCTCCATATATTTACCATGTCGATGAAGAATGTGACAATACTGGCCACTCTCAAACGGGAAAATGACTCAAATAGTCCATGAACTTTGGCCTAATATGTAATGTGGTCCCTAAACTATTAATTTATTTAATATGGTCCATGAACTTTTAATTTGTTCACTGTGTTCCTTAGACTTTTGGTACGTGTTCAATATAGTCCCTGAACTATATGAGAATATTCAATGTAGTCCTTGAACTTAAATTAATTGAAGGACTACATTGAACATTTTAAAATAGTTTAAGGACTATATTGAACATGTACCAACAATTTAGGAAACACACTGAACAAATTAAAAGTTCAAGAATCACATTGAATATTAGGCTAAAAGTTCAAAAACTACATTGAACAAACTAAAAGTTTAAGGACCATATTGCACATTGGATCAAACTTCATGGACTATTTGTGTCATTGTCTCCTCTCAAATCCATCAAATCTTACCTTTCAAGCCAATCCTAGCGAGGCTCGAGTCTAAGCTCACTCTAGCTCATGTCCTACTACACCTCCTATAGTTTTCACGTACCACTTAAATACTAGAAGGTTGATAAAAATCCAAATCTAAAATCTAGATGCCCTAACATGTTTATCTATGTGAGCTGGTTTGGTCATGATCTTTAAACTTGAGTTCAATTTATGTAATCATAGACCCAATCTTTACTAAATATTTGTAGATGCGAAAAGATGACTAACTTTTGGTTATTATATATCTACAGGTGACAGACTTAGTCTGTGCGAGTAAATATTGGTCGAAATTGAAGTCACCAATGAACAAAACAATGGATAACTCAAAATGAGTCGGCATCTTGCCAATGAAGCCATCGAGAGCAAACAATACAGGAGTTTTCGATGAGTGCCTTCACCGGTCGACGGGGGTCATCGACAATTAGCTATTGTAGATTTTGCTAAGTATTAGAGCTCGAAGATAAAGATGATGGATCCACACGGGCACTTGATTGCTGGCCGGTTAGTCCTATTATTTTGAAGACTGTAACTCCTGATAGATAACCATCAATAAAGTATTAGGGAACGTACCAAAGATCTCAGGAATTGCTTATTTATAACTATTAATGGCACAAGGAAGTTATTATTGATTCAAAATTCGTAACCACTCGTAAGTAACTACCGTTAGTGGGATATCAGTACCTATGTTGTAATCTTTGCAAATAACAAAACGCAAGTTCTTTTGCACTTTCACCTATCCCTTTAAATTCTTGCAAATTTGTCCTTTTAACACTTTAAATTCAAATACCATTTATATTTCTCGCAATTTTTAATTCAAGTACTCGCATCGAAAAGCAACCCCACCAAAATCACAAAAATAAAAGATCTCCTTTTTATAAAACTCCATTAATTTCATTTCAATTTATCAGATTTTCACTTTTTCGGTATTCGGTGATCATATCCCTGTATCCCGAGAAAATATTAGGTGAGTTTAACACTCCACGTAGGATTTGTAGAAAACCACTCACAAATTGACACGTGGCAATGGGGGGGGGGCCACATGTCAGGCAAAAAACTTTTCTCTCTCCTCTCTCTCACGCGCTCTGCTCTCCATCTCTCTGCAAGCTCACGCTCAACCCCCTCTCTCTCTAACACCTTGGCTCATGTCCGATGCACGACCAGCTCTGCTCTTTCTAGTCGCCATCACCTCCGATCCATCTCCGGCGACAACTTCCCGAGATATTCAAACTCCGGGGACTCCGGAATCGTGGTCAACGCGCCGGACTTGTCGTACCCAACGTAAAACCCGTAGTCCTCGTCGACGACGGGCGAGTACAGACCGGCGACGCCGAACGCCGGGGTAGAGCTCGTCTTCGGCTTGAAGACCGAACGCAGCAGCTTCTGGATCGACCACGAGATTTGGGAGTGCTTCTTCGCCGTCGTCGAGGTCGCCAGTTGCGGCCGCGGAGGAAGAGGGGGAAGGCGCGGCGGTTGGGGAGGTTAGGCATGGATAGGGTGCGGGCGGAGATGGCGGAGTCAAGCTTGAAGGACTTTATTTTTTTGCTAGAAAGCTTTAAGGACTTGATCAAAGGAGAGATGAACTGAAGAAGGCTTGTCAGAACATGACCGAAGGTGTTAGAGAGAGGGGGTTGAGCGTGGGTTGCAGAGAGATGGAGAGCAGAGCGCGTGAGAGAGGGGAGAGAGACAAGTTTTTTCCCTGACATGTGGGCCCTGATTACCACGTGTCAATTTGTGGGTGGTTTTCTGCAAATCCTACGTGGAGTGTTAAACTCACCCAATATTTTCTCATCTATCCCGGGCCCGGACAAAACCATATTTTGTATTGTATCACAAACCCGATTGCTTAGATTACGAATGTACTGTTTTTTTACGGACACGTTGTACATGATCCACGTGCGGTGCGGATTCAATGCTCTTTCTCCACTTGTCCCTAAAGTAAAAGAAGGTGATGTGAACGCGACGAGAGTATGAGCTTCACGTGGGAAAAAGTAGGAAATGCCGTGGTCTTCACGATCCCCCCTACCTAGCTTTACCCAAATGATCCGATCTTACAATGCCGTACGCAAGCAACAAAGTATGAAAAGATAAGGGATAACTAGACAAATTATTTTTGAATTTCGATTCAACTCGTAACTTGATCCTTAAATTTTAAATTTATTTAATGCAATTCATGATTTTCTACACAAATATTTAATTTATTTAATATGATTTCTAAATTTTTAGTACGTGTTCAATTTAATCTCTTGACTGAACAAATTAAAAGTTTATGAACGACATTACACATTGAGTTAAAGTTTAAGGATTACATTGAACAAATTTAAAGTTTATGAACCACATTGCATATTAAACTGAACTTCATTGACTATTTGTGTCATTTATCCAAAAGATAAAGTGATAAAAATCTTTTTTTTCTTGTTGAAAAGAAAAACTTAAAACTTGCAAGGTTCACGAGCTCTTGCAAACTTCATATAATCGATGAGATTCAAACATATAATGTTCATATCCCGAGCTAGAAGCCTCGACGGGCCCTAATCAATTGAGCCAATTGTTAAAAGATTTACTACTCATCTCTGACATAAATTTATCAATAGAAATTTAATCTGACGAGACGCGGTACGATCTGATTTAACTCGAGACTGACGTGGATCGGCGCATTTTCGTTTGTTTTTTTAATGGAAGCACGGATCGCAAGCCCGTGGCCACCTGTCACCTTCTTCCACCGCGCGGGTTTAGATATGCCCCTCCCTGATCCACTGGCGATGAACCGCCGCCCGGTGGCCTGTCGGCTTATCTTATTGTGTTTTTCTTTTGGTATTATTTGGGATTTTGTTTCTTCACAAGGAAAAAGCTGAGAGAGGAGGAATCGGGATGATAAGCAAGTGCATGGCAACCGTGGATAATGCCATGATTCGCCTTTTGTAAGGCAGACGCGTACGCACCTTCGTTCGGGCGCCCTTTCCCAAGGGACGGAAGCAAAACATCCCATCTTTTTGCGTTTTCATTTCTCTTTTGGCCATTTGTCATTTTCTAGGTTTCAAGATGACGTGGCCCTTTCCTACCTTAAAGGGTTCCCTTAACATATATGTGTGTGTGTGTGTGTGTTGTGTTTGGGTTATAAATATAGCAATCTTCACGTTCCAGAAAGAAAGAGGGAAGAGAGAAAAAAAGAGGAGGAGAAAATGGGTTTTCAGGCGCATACCAGGGTGGTACCATCACAACTTCAATGTAAGGGAACGATGGTGCCACGCTGCGTGGTTCTGAAAACGTTCGCTTTTTTCTCCTTAATGAATCTCCCCTTTCTTTAACTTTTACTTCTTTTCGATTGCAAGTGCTTGCTTTATGTTTTTCTCCATGATTGGGGGATCATTCTCGAGCAATTTGCAGGAATGAAATTGGGGGAAAGCTGAATCCAAACTCAGTCCAAGAGTGCCCCTCTAAGCTATTTATGAAGGGGTAGGCCGTGTAATTCCAGGAAAGAATTTTTTTTTCAGGGGCGAATAAACAACGAGCAGATGGGATTTTGCTCAATTCTAATTGAGTTAAAAGAGTTCTATTGGTGTAGGATTTGCTGAGATGGGCGAGCAGTTTCGAAGCCCGATCCATGCTCGGCTTCGCCAATCTGCAAGGTATGGACTTTCGTTTGAGTCGAGTGTTTGTAGCAGCAGATCACTCCTCACCGCGTACAAAATTTTAAAGACAAGTCCTTTCGTTCTTTTAAAAGAAGATATGAGTTGGTGATCGAAGATATCAAATTGGATCACGGCAGAAAACATGCTGTTGGTTTGATGTCCTGAATGTTGTCTCGAAGTTATCTAATAATGAAACTAATCTTGCGTACGTTATCGGGGGCAGCTGAAAACATGCATGGTTGTTACAAGCCACGGGAACGTAAGTAACGATAATCGTGTGACACGATATGATACGGCCAGAGCCTTCGAGCAGTGGCACGAAATGCTGAAATGGATTAAACCAAATGATATTTCGGTCCCCCTTCTCAGAGAACTCGAAAGGGTAATTTTGTTTCATTGTCATGTCATGCATTCTAACATTGCTGGCAAGAACAGAAGTAGTTTCATGAAGTTGTTATCCTTTGATCAGATGATTAAGCCACTTACATATCTCTTGAAATCTCTCTTGTTCTGGTTTCTGCACACAGCTCTCTTTCAGGAGGTCTACAATCCTCTTTCGCACAAAAGAAGAGGAATTTGTTCATTTTTGGATTCTTGAAGGCACGTCGAGACGCATAAGATAGAGTCAGCTCAATATAAAATGAGCAACTACGTCCAATAGCCACTTTAATTTGTGCAGCCTCGTTGAAGCATCCTTTTATATGTGATGCCATGCGCTAGGGACTTATTTTAGGTATAAATATTTTGGGATGAGGTAAACTTTAACTCAGCCCGTAGCGCTCGCAGATTCTTCGAAAGTTTCTTCTCTTGGAAGATAATGCTTTAGGTTTTGCTACCCACACCGCATAAGATTGTGATAGTTCTGTACATGCACCACAGCAAATCGTGCAAGCAAAGATATCTTTGTAGTCAAACATGAACAGTTTTTGAACGTCCCTGCATGTCTGGAGAATGCGGAATGAGGAAGTCTGGAGCCACCATAATGCCCTTGCAGCAGTAACCCAGCGGCTGCCCTCACTTGATGGAAGAAGACGAACACACACACACACACTCGAGTCAAGCGAATTCAGGAGTAGAGATTTTCGCCATCGTTGCTGACCCCCTAACAAATGCGATCACAGACAACAAAATCAACTAGCTAATCCCGCAGATGAAGTAGAGATTCACTGATTTAGACTCCGGTTTAGGATACAAACTGCGATGATAGATCGGTTGAATTTGCGGAGGGGTCGGTCTTCTCGACGGCCCACAGAACAACACTGGCACAGCGAAAACCAGAAGGTACATGGTGTCACGTTTATTCATGAGGAACGGTGGCCAGCACTCGTTCCGACTGCACGACTCGCAGACACAAAAAGAAACACAGACATAGGAAACGAACCATAAGAGAGAAGCCGTGTAAAAACCATATAGAAGCAACTTCTATGACGGTATATCAACACCTTTATGAAAAGGGTTTTCTCAAAAAAGTGTTCCCCCGGCACTTGATAAGAAGCATAAATCTACTTTGAATTTGTACTTTATTCATACCATGTGAAGAAGATAATTCAACATTCTTCTATGCCCATTGAAAATTGCTCTTTTTATTTTGAGATTCTCGGTACACTCGTTAACAAGACCTTTATAAATAAGTAATTTCAAACATAGATATTTTATTGCTTCACAATTCGCGATTTTGCTTGGATGTGTCTTTTCTCGAACACGGGAGTGTACATACACCGAAAGGAGGGGAAAAGTGCCAAAGAAGTCTTAAACCTTTTACATTAGTATCAATTTAGTCCTAAACCTTTTTTTGGTGCCAATTCAGTCCTAAACCTTTTGCATTGGTGCAAATTCAGTCCTAAACCTTTTTATGGTGCCAATTCAGTCCTAAACTTTTTATATTCGTGCCAATTCAGTCCTAAACCTTTTGTTTTTGCGTCAATTTAGTCCTTCCAGCCAATTTTGGCTGGATTTTGCTGACGTGGACGCTGACCGGCCAATCACCGGCACTGACGTGGACAACTTTAATAATATTTTAAAAAAAAATTTGAATTTTTATTTATTTTTTCCCTCCCCTCCCTCCTTCCTCCAGCCGGTTGCCGGATCAGCGACCGGCTAGAGGCCGGCGAGGGCGGCCTTGCGCTGGGTGAGGCCTGACCTCGCCAGCGACGGCAAAGGCAAGCCTCGCCATGGCCTTGCCTAGCCATGGTGAGGCTCGAGCCCTTGCCGGCGGCCTCTGGCGAGGGCTTGAGCCTTGCCATGGCCTCACCAGTGGCCGGCGAGGGCGAGCCTCATTGGCGCTGGCCTCTGGCCGGTCGCCGGTCCGGCGACTGGCTGAAGGAAGGAGGGAGGGGAGGAAAAAAAAATAAAAAAAAAATATTAAAATTTTATTAAATTGTCCATGTCAGCGCCGGTGATCGGCCGCCGGCCGGCCAGTGTCCACATCAGTAAAATCCGGCCAAAATTAATCGGGAGGACTAAATTGGCACAAAAACAAAATGTTTAGGACTGAATTGACACCAATGTAAAAGGTTTATAACTGAATTGGCACAAAAAAAAAGTTTAGGACTGAATTGGCACCAATGTAAAAGGTTTAGGACTGAATTGGCACAAAAAAAAGGTTTAGGACTAAATTTGCATAAACGCAAAAGATTTAAGACTTTTTTGGCACTTTTCCCCGGAGAAGGCCTATTCATGAGTTGGACAACAAGCACGACTATGTTACTGGAATTAACGCCACGTTGCCATTGTTATACCTCGCAACTAAAATAGTGATTAGACCAGATGTACATTAGCGAAACGATAACGAAATTCACTCTTTTCTTGGGCTGTAATATTGTTCTCGTCTCCTTCCTTTTTCCCTTTTGAAGAGTTGTATCGTTCAAGATAAAATGCTGAACTTCCCAATTTGCTTATTCAATTGGCCAAGACTTCCTATAATGCTCGAAATTTTGCCCGACCCCCACCTAACCATCAAGCTTTCGCAGTCTTGTAAGGACCGAGTGTCGAATATGAAAGGTGAAGAAGCAGGAGCAAACTACTCAAAGACCAAGCACTAATCCAAAAACTTTTCTTCTTTAATAATTGTATTTGCTTTGGATTCCACATTGAGATAATGGAGGGACACCAATTTTCTCTACACAACCCTCTTTACACCGCACAAAATGAGCTATCTCTGCTTTTACATGCGGACGCTAGATAAAATGGCCTATTAGCCCAATTGATTAGAACTTGATCTAACTCCATTTGGCCGGCGTATTAGATTGAATAAATGCACATCACATTTTTGATACGCCATGCCACCAAGTGCAAATTATTTTCGTTTGACGCTGCCCATGTACTTATATCAGTTTGCCTTGGTCGTGCATAAACGAGCAGTTCTCCGAAAAAAGAAAGATTCATTTGATATGTAGTGATTTATGATAGTATCAATTCCATTAAAGTTATGTCAAAAGTGCGTGTTTGTTGTAAGATGCGTGCCATGTTGTGTTCTTACATGGCCATATCGATAGGTTAAGGTCTTATAAGTTGAATTAACCAGATTCAACTTTTCTCGTCCTATCTTAGAGTATTCATTTACTCAAAATTACTCTGCTTTCATTTCCACTTTCCACAAACGGGCCAAAACTTTTTTGGAATAGTATTTAACATCCTTCGTTTTTTATTTCACGACCTATTACGCTACATCTAATTTCTATATGTAGATGGTTCCTTCGCCCTTTTGATTACGAAAAATTCTATCCAGATTTTTCCTAAAGAATTCAATCCACTATTTGGTAACTCGAAATAATTATTCCTAACTTCTACTTCCTACAATTTTTCCTCTAAAGTTAGAAATTCAAAGGTGCTATTTTAACTTTAAAAACTTACAAAGTGTATTTCACACGTCATTATTTGAATATTTTGAAAGGTTTCCGATTTTTCGAGTTAAATAGAATTTAAATCGGCAGCTTTAAAATCAACAAGAACTCAGAAGTAAAATTTACGTCCTCTATTTTCCACGAGGAAAATATCATACATTTTTAAATGAAAATTTATCTTTAGTATTCTGCAAACATTATAAAAAAAAAAGGACAACATAAATAAATTAAAAAAGATGCTAGAAAGGTTTTTGGGCCTGGGATAGGCCCAAAAAATTGCGGGAAGATGGCCCGGGCAAGAACGCGGCCCGGGCCTGGAACTCGGGCCGTGACAGGCCCAACAAGAAAACGAGCCGGGCCTTTCCGGCCCATTTACCGGGCCCAGTAAGGCGTCGCCGGCCGACGGCGACCGTTGCCGTTTCCGCTTTTTGAAGAGCTCGCACGTATCTTCCCCGGGAGAGAGAGCTGTAGGGTGTCTGCTCTCATCATCCTCCACGTCGAGACCTCCACCTGATCGCCACGGCTCTCTCATGGGGCTCCACCTTCGACTTCAAGGAGCTTCCTTCCCCTTCTCGAACGCTCTCTCTCTTCTTCGTCTTGTCAGCTTCGTCTCTCCGAAGAAACCCGAGCTGAAACAGCTGGTCTTCTCTCTGTTTCTTTCCCCTGCAGTTTGCGGTCTCCAGCCTCCACGAAGACGCCATTCGCAAAGAGCTCGGTTTCTACTCAAACGGGTCGGCTGTGACGACGGCTTTCGACGTCCCCGAGTTTTTTCTAGCCGCGCGGTAGAGTCTTCCCTTCTCTGATCGGCGCGTGGCGGCGTTGTTGATGCCTCGTTTCCATTGATCATCGTAGTCATCTGGCGGCTGAGAGCGAGTTCGTGTTCGACGCGAGATGTTGTCGATTCTGAGACGAGAAGCCGCTGCCGGATGCTCGGATGCCGTGGTAAAATTCTTCGCGTGGCGAACGTCTGCTTCGGTTGTTTCTTCAAGCTTTCGAGAGTAGATTAGATTTCCTCTGGTTTGTTGATGGTTGGAAGCTTTTACTGGTTTTACTTAGTGCGGAAGATATGGTTCGTTAGGTTAGTAGTCAGTAGCTGATTTCAAATTCGATCATTCTGTTGCAGTTGTTAAGAGAGAGGCTGCGGAGGAGTTGCGCCGCAGCGACAGCGCGGTTACGGGGTTACGCTACCGCGGCGAAAGAGGTACTGCGCAACTTTACTTTGTCGCGTCTTCCCTGATTTTGAATTGAGTCTCTTGTCGATAATCTTTGCCTAATTGCTTAGCCAAAACAAATGACTGATCGTATAATGCTATGTAACTGGGCGTGCTTCTGCTTCTCTTCGATTGCTTTTTAGGATTTAAGACTGCACGCTAGTGCTTTTTAGGCTCCCTGTTCTGCAGCTGCAGCATGTTCGCTTGTTGCTCAAGACTGCACGCTAGTGCATGATGGTGGGAGGTTATGTATGGGAAAAAAAGGAATACATTTTGAGAGGAATGGAGTGATTATTTAATGAAGTGGATATAGTGGTAGTGCGTAGTTATCAGATATATACCCATAGATAATCTCTTAATCATCCCATCGAATGAGTGGAAACAGGTGGTTAACTCAATGAAATGAGCTTACGAAGTAATCAGGGTAATATTGGAATGTCCGAAAGTGAGAGTGTTTGCTCATTGATATAGATATTGATTTAGGCATGTGTTTGATTTCTCTCCTGTACAAATTCATTGTGTCCTTCAGAAAGGGTCTTTACTTCATTGATAAGTGCGTTATCATCTGCGCAGATGACTGTGAGAGAGGCTCTGAATACGGCGCTTGATGAGGAAATGTCTGCAGATCCTAGAGTCTTTTTAATGGGTGAGGAGGTGAGACGGCAAGACATTTATTCTACATGTAGCAATATTATTTGCTTTCTACTGACCCTGTCGTGGGTTTCTTTTGAGTCTAGGTCGGAGAATACCAGGGAGCCTACAAGGTTTGGATTGCTAATCAAAGAAAGAACAAACCGTTTCTGCATTCTTAATGTCAAGAATACTTACATCTCTATGTAAAATTCCATTTCCATCATTCAGCTTATAATATTTTGTTATGTAGATATCCAAAGGTTTATTGCAGAAGTTTGGACCTGAGAGGGTGGTTGATACTCCAATCACAGAGGTAATTCATTCTTAAGATATGCTGATTCGCATGTGTATTTTAGTTATTGCCTTATAGAGGTAACAAGGCTAGTGTTGAACATCATTTTAAATAGTAATGCTTAATGGAATCATGACCTGACTGTTCCATGTGTTTGTCAGGCTGGTTTCACTGGAATTGGAGTCGGCGCTGCTTACTATGGTCTCAGGCCTGTCGTGGAGTTTATGACATTCAATTTCGCTATGCAGGTTATAATCTTGAATCTATAGACTTGTAGAATAAGAGCATTCTTCATAGAACCATGTGCATTGAATGCTGAAAGGTAAATGCGATCGGTTAATTGATCACTTCATTCATGTTATAACGTCCTCAGTTGCGAATCTTAATTATCGGTCTACTCTTTATTGTATTTTACTATCTTGGCAGGTTGATGACATTCAGCTTAGATCACTAGATTTCTCTTTGTGAATGTCATCCTGAGTGTGGATCTGTTTTAACTCATCTTCAGAGATCCGTGTAATATTTGCCTGTTTTCCTGCTGGAAATTGATGAATATGCCAGTAACTGCAGAATTTGTTATGGATATAAAGATGTGACGGGAGCAGGAAGGAAGTAGAAGGAAAAGAAAATGGAAATTGTGATTTCCCTTCCTTTTCAGATATGCATTGAAGGGAAATTATGTGATGGGAAATGGAGTTTATTGATAGACCAAAATATCACATGCATCGCAATTGTTTGCCACCTTTTACTTAGAATGTTCTTAAATGGCAAAAAATATGAAAGAGTTGTCCATCATTACCGTCCATTTCTCTTCTATTTTGAAGAGGAACTTTTGTCATAATAAAGATTAGTAATTTTCTCCATTTCTCCCCAATTCCCTTCTTTTTCTTTATCTAAACAATGGGATCATTTTCCTCATTTCTTTTTTTTTTCTTTCACTTCCTTTTAATTCCTTCCAACCAATCAAGAAAAAGATGCTAAACAAAGTATAAATCAGTTGATCTTATCATCTTAAAGGCTGACATGAGAATGTTACATTCTCTTGTTTGATCATGAGAAGATAGTCTGGAAGCATTCTATGTTCACTAGATGAATATTCGATGGGAAAGGAATCAGCATAGATTTCTTGATTGTTTACCAGTCTAGTTTATCTTATGGTGCATGGTTTTGAAGACTCGAGAGGTATATTGAGCTTTTAAATTGTTCAATAACTTCATAACAAAGGTACACGGACCTCCATTCGGGAATGCAGTGTGCCATTTCGTTTGTGATTCATGGTTCTGGTTTTGGAAATATTCCTGGTTCTGACTCATCGTTCTCTTTACTTACACCATTTATATGACTTGTTATAGTGACCTCGATCATCACTTGTTCTGCAGGCAATTGACCACATTATAAATTCTGCTGCAAAGATGAACTACATGTCGGCGGGCAACATATCGGTCCCTATAGTTTTCAGAGGACCTAATGGAGCTGCAGCAGGAGTTGGTGCCCAACACTCTCAAGTACATAGACCAATCTTCCTTATGCATATTTGCATGCCTTAGCTTGTCTACTGTTGCTAAACTCACCGCTTTTAAATCAACATGTAGTCTCTGGATCATCTCCACTCTACAATCACCACACTTTTTTTTTGGAATCTGTGCAGTGTTATGCAGCATGGTATGGCTCGTGCCCGGGTTTAAAAGTGTTGGCACCCTACTCATCGGAAGATGCTCGAGGACTGCTAAAAGCAGCAATAAGGGATCCTGATCCTGTTGTCTTCCTTGAAAATGAGCTGATGTGGGTGACTCAGTGTTAGCTGATTGTCTTTTCCCCTCATCATGTTTTTACAGACCTCTATGTGGTTTTTTTTTATTCAGCTATGGGGAGCGTTTTCCTGTTTCAGCAGAAGCTCTTGATTCCAGTTTTTGTCTTCCAATAGGGAAGGCCAAGGTTTAATATCCTCTAATTTTATGAGACTTAATTGAATTTCTGTTCTTACCTTTTTCTCTCTGAGTGACTGTTGTTCTTACTTCAGTAGAATTCTGTTGAACACACACTCTGTCTCTCCTTCTAATGGTTACAGATTGAGAGAGAAGGAAAGGATGTCACAATTACCGCTTTTTCGAAAATGGTTGGCCTTTCTCTCGAGGTGCGTGCTGCTACTATTGCTTGAAGATGTCAGTGTGCTTTAAGTCCAGATTCTCTGTACTCATTTATTGAGTGTGGCTGGCTTTTGCACTTTTATTGGGTGATTATCATGCGTTGCAAAGACTTGGCTGAATCTTACAGTTCTTCAGTGGAATTCACCAGCTGGTGGTATGCATTGGGAATGTGACTTACAATTTCAGCTTTCACATAGCCAAGATGAGGGACTAACATTTCCCCCTCATAGTTGGTTTTCAAATCTTTTGCAACTGGATGAGCATCTGTTTCCTTGAAGTGGTGTTGTACTTTTCTGTAATTCTTGCGTACAGAATTTTCTATAGTTCTTGGAAAGGTTGCATCATTTAGTCGGGTAAAAGTGCTCAGATGAAAAATAACTGATACGAATATCCAACATAGGTAAGAGTCCAAAAAGAACCAGTGTGAAGAAAAAAACTGATCTGAAAGAATTTTTTGCTTTTGGTAGAAAAAAGGAGTTTAAGGTGAAGAAACTGTAGTGTTCCTTGGTGTGAGGCAATGCAATGAGTTTTAGGAGGATTTCATCAATGTTAAGTGACCATGGTTGTAAGAAAATTATTATTCTATCACCTCAACATGTGGCGGAGCTGAAAATTTTCGGAAGGTTGCCCAGGTTTGGCCTGGGGTCTCTGGGATAGCTGCATTTATACTTGCATGCGAGCGGCATTTGCAGTAATCTTCTCATGTTTCTTTCTTCAATCAGCTGGGCATATTCCTTTCTTTGTTTCTTTTTGTCTTCCTTCATTTTGAGTTCAGAGGTTTGAGAGAGAACTAGTTAGAAATGACCTGGGGTTTAATTTTCAGGCAGCTGAAATCCTTGCAAAGGAAGGAATCAGTGCGGAGGTAAACTAAAATTGAGAATTAGTGCGCATGTTAGTTGTCCAGTACAAGCGATCCCTAATCATTCTGAAGCAGGTCATAAATCTGCTCTCAATTCGACCACTGGATAGACCTACGATTAATGCTTCAGTCAGGAAAACCAGCAGACTGGTGACGGTTGAGGAAGGGTTCCCCCAGCATGGTGTTGGCGCTGAGATCGGGTTTAAACTGTTACTCTGTGATGCATGATTTATTTTGCGACACAAGAAACATGGTATGGATATTTATACTTTTTGCCTCTTACTCTGAGCAGCATGTCGATTATTGAGGACAGCTTTGGTTATCTTGATGCTCCGATCGAGAGGATTACTGGGGCCGATGTTCCCATGCCTTACGCAGCAAACCTGGAAAGAATGGCTCTTCCTCAGGTTACTTTTTGTTTCGATGTATTTTTACTTAGCAGGTTTGCGGCAGATTTTCGTCCATTTGAAAGCTTTTAAGATGGTGGCAATGTACATATCATGTCAAACATTCTCGACTACCGCATAATGTTGCATCTAATTATATTCCTTAATTGATCGGATTTTCCTTCATGGCAACTTAACTTAGCCTTGGTTTTTTGCCTTGTGCCCTTTGATCCGATTCTCAAGTTTTGTACAGATTGAGGACATTGTGCGGGCTGCAAAGAGAGTGTGCCACAGATCTGTACCGATGGCCGCAACTGCTTAGGCTAGGAAACTCTGCATACAGAGTTTTCGATCAAACTTTGGTTTGCCCCTGTAATTGGACTTCTTCAAGAGTCGGGAGTTCTTTGTTCATATCGAAGTAAATGACTTGCCTAGTTTCCTTCGCCGCCTGTTGCGTTTCTTACTAGAGGTGGAGATGTCACACGTAATTCTTCGCATCTTGGGTTGCGAACGGCTGAAGTATGGCACTTGTGGAGAATCGTTGTAACCTATTGAGATCCACTTAAAGAGCAATAATTCCTATAATCCTAGTAACTCAAGTTTGGAAAGTGTAAACTTTACTATGCTATCATTGGGCAGGAGAAAATTAGAACTGTTGTATAGTCATCTTTTTTTTTTTTGGTAAAGATTGTATAGTCATCTTTCATATGCATCAAACTGAATACTTAAGTTAAATTGCTTAGAGCTGGGAGGCTCCCCGACAACGAGGGCGATTCGAGCCGGCTAGTTCGAGGCAGACAAGTATTTCGAAATCCGCTTCCTTCACTAGAGAGGTCAGTTGCCACTTCTGCCTGCACTGTTGGTTTTGTGAGATTAGCGTAGATCCGCACGTTGATTCTGTGACATCCAATGGATTACATACTTTCCATTACAAACCTTTGCACAAATCTCATTGATTGATCAGTCGAGGAGCGGAGTTTGTAATATAGGTCCGGAAAAAAGAAACACGATGTTAACGAAATTGCGTTTGCAATTTCTGAACCTCCTTCCTAATTTCGTTGTATCCATAAGACATCCGAGTTCCAACAGAAAAACACCGCCTCCGCGACTCCTTTACTTAGCAATTTCTTACTTCTATACATATCCCAAACTCAAACAGGAGAAGAGGATCCTCCTAGCTTTTTTTTATGTATGTTAAAGCTCGATTCGAGCGTTTTCTTTACTAGGCGGTCAGTCGCAGCTCCCGCTGGTGTCGTATCTCACGAATCCCATCAGCTCTGGTCCTTCCAATCTTGGATTGTTCACGTAACTGCATATAAAGAAAGCCAAACACCTTCAAAACCAGAGTTAAATCTAATCTGAAACCAAAAAAGAGATAGAACAGAAAAAGATTGCAATGAAAACAAATTCTGAGTAACCTTTGTTCGGAGAACTTGGAGAAGGAGCCGGAGGTAGGAATTGTACCGCACAAGTCGTTGCTGGACACGTCTCTGTGCAGGTTTGGGAGTGTGAGTTAAGAGAAGAGAGCGAAATGAAGCAAAAAGGGTGAGAGAATTAAAGTGATTCGGGCTTACAGGATCTTTAAGTTGCCAAGTTTGGTAAGCTCTCTTGGGATTCTTCCACTCAGTCTGTTCCTGTTCAGTCGCCTGCGTAAGACAACATTGCGTGAGCCGACACCCCCTCAAATTATTTGCTTCTGTTCACGTTTTCCATGAGAATGGCTGTGCCACTCATAAATGACAAGGGTAATGTATGTCCCCTTGGATTCATTCCCAGAGATCGAAGAGCTAAGTTGTTCATACACAAATTGAAGAAGAGTCGCGCTAACGAGTGCTTTAAGGGCATGGTGATAGATTTTCAAGTCAGTTCATCAAACATGTCAAGAACATCCACAGAGATTATTATGTTTATCTCTAAGTGATTTGGATGAGTTTGTTTAAGACATTTACATCCCTTTTTCAGTTTTTCCAAATTGGATGAACTGTTTATGCATGGTGTCATCTTATCAGTATGAGAATTCGCTTAGATGTTCTCCTACACAACTGTTTGTGCCTTTGGAACACCAAAAATTCAAAATATTACGTATATTTCAACAAATTATGAAAAATTTACATGAAATCTCTGTGTCGCTGTTTGTATATTGTGAAAGTTCTTTGGGTTCGGTATAGCAAAAGTTAAAAGTATATCTAAACGCTCTCTTTAATAGTTTTAAGCAATGGGCCTTCCTAATAGTTGTGTGTGTGTGTGTGTGTGTGTGTGTGTGTGTGTGTGTGTGTGTGTGAGAGAGAGAGAGAGAGAGAGAGAGAGAGAGAGAGAGCTCACAGGAATTTGAGATTAGAGAGCTTGGAGAGAGAGGCAGGAATGGAGCCGGTGAGGTTGTTGTGATAGAGATCCAAGCTCACAAGGCTCTTCAGCCCTCCAAGCTCCTTTGGAATTGGGCCCTCCAGGTAGTTCATGTACAGCTCCCTGCATTGCATAGTGCATCCCCACCAAACACATTCAATTTCCCCAACCTATGAATTTATTGCAAAGAACCCAAGGACCGACATCTATCTATCATGGTCCAGGACCATAATGACACTTGACTGGTTTTTGAGTGTTCGATGGGGGCAAAGTTAATTCACATCAGCAACAGCCATCGTTCTATTAATTGTCCTCCAAAAAACAGTTGCAAACCCCACTTCTGCCCTTCCCCCTAGCCCTTTTGCCTCCCCTTTGAACTTGTATCAGAAAGATGTTCAAGATACCAAACACTTACCTCATCTTGCATCCCCAAATCGTATCTCAGTTAGATCCGCATAATAAAAACTTGTACAAACTTAGGTAGTTTGAGTTACGAAGAGACTAGCTTTGCCGTGCTATTTTGTTTGACAAAATGACAACCTTGTAAATCTCATATGACTAAGGCAATGGATTGTGAGGAGTTTCACTTACAGATACTGGAGACGCTCGAGCTTTCCCAGTTCCGGAACCAGGCTCCCCGACAGCTTTGCATTCCCGAGGTCTCTGCACGAGTTTGATTAAAGCCATCAATTTAACACCCGTTTTCTTTCTTTTGCTCAACAACTCTCCACCATTATCGACTTATTCTTGATTTGCAATCAACCCTTCAGCGAAAGTAGCGGAGACAAAACATGTACACAGCTCGGCGAGTTCTCTTTTTTGCATCAAGCCCAGATCGATATATGTCACTGCTGCTAAATATTCCGCATGCACTTTGGTAAAACAGAGGAGACATGCATGAAGGAGATTGTGTAGAGGCAAAAATGTTCTTATTCTTCGAGAGAGAGAGAGAGAGAGAGAGAGAGTTACAGTCGGGTGACGCGGTTGTCGCCGTCGCAGGTGACGTGAAACCAAGTGCAAGGGTCGACGAGAGTTGGGTCCCAGCTCTCAAGAACGCCGTCCGGGTCCTTCACGGCCCTCCTCAACGCATACAGAGCCTCCCCTGCTCAGGTCATTTCAATCACAGGAAGCCATTGATACACCATGAACACGACGACACATCTTTCTTCCCCCCTTCTTCTAAGTAGTTAAGCGGAAAGCCGTACCTTCTGAGTTCGCGCTGGCGGGGGCCGAAGAGGAGGAGAGGATCAGGAGAGCGAGATGAAACAGGAGACAGATCGCCATCGGAGGGTGCAAACTTCGAACCTTGGAGCTTAGGAAGACGATGGAACCTGCAGTTATATAAAGATGAGAAAGAGAGAGAGACAGAGAGCAGAGATGAAGTGTTTTAAAATGAGAAAGCTGGGAAGCCAAAAGGAATCAAGAATCTCTCTGTTGGGTTGAGGGGGGAATTATCATAGAGCCCATAAAAAGGGCACTGCTCAGTGCTCACCACTTTGAAGTAGGAGGAGGCAGAAATGGGGGAAGAACCAAAACCCCAAAAGACTATTATATAGCTGAGCACGACCCTTCACATTCACAGTCTCAGCAGTGCCAAAATGAAAAGAAAATTTTGATGATTTCTATTCTTTCGAGATCACAAGGACACTTGTCCTGAACAGAGACATTTCTTTAATTGAGAAATTTGTTAGATGTCGCAATTTTCCACAAGAGGATGTCTAAGTAGCATGAAAACATTCTTGTTATTTCATAACCCAGGGGGCGTTAGATCTGGAACTGGAAAACATGGAAGCATGGAATAGACAAGGTTTTTAACTGGTGAAAAGAAAGAGGTGGGAGTGGTCTCCCTAGTCATATTTGACTTAATTTCATGCATCCCAAGATTTGAATGTTCACGTATGCCCTCGAGGATAGATGAGTACAACGTAATTAGAACAAAGGACTATTGTAGTTTTGTTTTGTTTTGTTTTGTTCATGTGAAGTCACGACTTTCAAAGTAAGGGTGCAATGAGTCAAATTAGTCATGAGCCACTCGAATTTGACTCGGATTCTTTTCAAACTCGAGTTGATTTTTAATAGTTCAAAAGTGTTTAGTCCAATTGAGTTCGAGTTTGAAAATATTTGAATCGAGTGACTTGCAAACCTGAATAATTTTATTTCATGTAATCTGACTAATTATACATGTACAAACATAAATATGAATAAGTAGACGCTAGTTTGTTTTAGTCATATTTTATTTTTTATAATTCGAGCTTGAAATCAAGTCTAGTTTGAGCTTAACTTTATGACTCGAGTTGAATCAAGCTCGAGAGCTTATTCGAGTTGAGGTCGGATTTGCAAAGTAAATCTCGATCAAGCTTAGGGCAAGTAGGAGTGTCGAATATTTAAGTCAAGTTGAATTCGAATATTTTAAATGTGGCAACTCGAATCAATTGGTCTCAAATCGGAAGCACATAGCTTGAAAGTTCTAAATGCAGTCATTCAAATCTAGATTTCTTCTTTCATATATGAATATGGTGTTTTAGATTCTTTGAGCACCCTACTAGGATAATCCTCCTGTTCCATGCATACCGGATCATTACTTGGGACACGATCTGTGCTCCCGAGGTAATCCCAAGAGAATGTGCAAGCATGGTGATTCAAATACAGGCCTTGAGCGAGGATTACTTTTTTATGCATCGTGTTAAGTAACAATTACTTATATCGATGAAAGAAAGATAAAGAGATCAAAATGTATCCAAAGAGAAGAGGACCTCCTTGTGTAAAGTAAGCATCGAGAAAGTTAGGCAACATAAAAGAACGGTCCCACTAAGAAGAGGACCTTCGTCTGCGTAGGAAATACATTACGACAACAGAGGGTGTTCTTGAATGCACATTCTTGAAAAGGTTGCAGGTGAAAGAAGACCAAAAAGACACGGGGAAGAAACGCTCCCCTCCTGGGTGCTCCACTGCTGTTGGGTGTTTGACTCCTGCTTCGAATCGAATCTGACTCCAGTCTCCAGCAACAACAGCAACAACAAACGTAATTCTTCATGCCCACTTTGGAAGTGCGCACTAATTTGAAAAGAGGCATTGGCACGAGAAGAATCGTTTGACTTCGAGATCAGTGCTGCGTCGGGTGGGCGTTTTCCCTGCGTTTACCTCGGCCGATGATCTTTGTCCAGATGATGTTCTTGAGAATGTGAATCTTGTTCCCACTTTGTTCCCACTATCTTTTCCCCTGTGCTGAAACTTTTCCTTCTCGTTTTTGCAAATAGAAATGCTTTAGATTCTCGTAACCTGTGGCGCTGTTTTGCCGAGGAAAATGCATTGATGTCTTCGTGATTTAGTTGGATGACATTTGTAATTCGAACCCAAAAAGAAAGAAGAAAAAAAGAGAAATTGGAGTTCAACCGAATCTCAGATGTACATGCATGGTGCTTGGCATCCATTCTTTTGCAGTGCTGACCAATGAATTGGAGTGCAAGTAGTCAACTCCACCAGCTGCTATAAAAATAAAAAGGATTCATAGAGGATGCATCTTCACTATATGACCTCTACGATCTCTATAATTGATACCTTCAGTTTCTTTTTCATTAGCCGGCTGTTTTCTTTTTCCTACTACGTAGTCAACAAATTGATTAATGGGATAAATTCATAATCCTTTTATTGAATAAACATTTGGATAATTGTATACCTTATTAATTAGTAGGAGTTAATTTATTTTGTCTAAGTAAATATTTCTTTTGTAAAATAGATTTAGATATTTATAGGGATCACTAATGAGGAGGAGCCAAGTTTATATATTTATGAGACGTATTTCGCCCAAGTAATAACTTCTTTTGAGATTTTTTTCATATTTATAGGGATCATTAATGAGGAGGAGCTAAATTGATATATCTCTCTCTTTCGCTCGCTCTAGATATATACATAGACAGTCGGGGCTAGGCTAGCTAGGTCCAAGAAGGATTTGTGCTAGATTTGTTCATTTTGCCCTTTGGGCGTAGGTGGACTTAATGGACCGCCTGCTCATTGATCAGGTCTATTGATTCTCACTTAAAGTTATCTCTAGATGGAATAGGATTTGGTTACATTTCAGACGAATCTATATCTACGTTCACCAAAGGTTAGTCATTTCAAATGCACTTCGCCACCCTCTTCACAACTTACATATGAAAAGCTATCAATCGAGCACCTAAAACCTAAAACCCTAAACCCTAGCAAACATTTAAAACTAAAACCCCATCGTCGGTTGATATTTTTAGTATGCCTATCAGTAATATTTTTGTCACTTGACACTTATGGTCTCCTCTCCAGAGAAAAAGAAAGAGTCAAAAGGGGAAACGAGAGTGAAACAGCAAGGGGGACAAGGGTACGATCTTGGCCATCGTTCGAACTGAGGTGGGTGAGGTTCGAACGAATTGAGTGATTAGCGAGCTGTCATGAGTCAAACCTACTGACTGACTATGGTAACTTTAAATATTGATTCTGGCTGAGCTGCAAATGCGGTGATGGTAACAATACAAGGCTACTCGGCCAACTCAATCGAGCGTCTCCCTCTCTTCATCATCCGAACACATGAGCATACGCTACTAAACCTAATAGTCAGGAGTGCTTTGACTAATCCAAGGTTAGGCAGGTCCACAAAAAGAAGCAAAACACTCATTCTTGCCATGTGAGGAGACTCGTCTTTTGATGTTATTTTTGCTTTGGTTCCATTTGGGTCGATCCTCTCCCCACGGGCCATCTTGAGGCCAACCTCATACTTGTGTTCATCTTTGTTAACCCGACAATGGATTGTCGTGTGGGACAAACAAAGATCGTTTGTAATTTCAACCCGGTCATGATTTTTTCCTCCCCCTTTTTCCCTTCTCAAAAGAAGTGACTTGACTAAGCCATGCATAGCACTGATGGTAGAATCTCAGCTTTTTCTTCTTTGATCTTTCGAACCTCTTTTGGGTTCGATCGGAGTTGAGGACAGATAAAAGTGGGTTCAAACCAAACTATGAAAAGTCATCTCGCATCTGCATAAAGCATAACTAACATGATGAAATTAAAGAGAGTGTAATAACTCTATGGAGCCTTTAAATTTGAAAGGAAATGGGGATTCATGATCGTTTCCAAAGTAAAGTAGGTCTCTGGAGCTAACACGAACTAATAAGATAAGGCCGGAACGACGAAATAAAACCCGAGTTGATCATTTACACTTCTCATTTTTGGGCGATGAAAAGCTCTGCATAAGACTCCAAACATGCGTTATCACGGGACAACCAAGCAAAATCGAAGCTGATGTTGACCTTTAAAGTTCCGGAAGAACCCTATTGAGCATTATCCTGCCTATTTGAATAAGTTGATTTTTCATTGAATGTTAGCAATAAGAGCATGAAAAAGTTAAGATAGCCGTCCCCAAAGCATGAAAAAGGAAGCGTGGCTAATCATGACACACACCCAACAACCTGAAAAAGGTGGTCCGAGTCGCAAGGGTTTGGTTAGCTAGCGACCATTATGATCTTTATAGTCGCTTGGATGTGTCCAAATTCGAAAAGCGACGAGGAAATGGTCAAAACTGAGGGAGGGAAAAAGGCCCCTTTCTTTTTTCCTTCGGTTTGAACAATGAAGGTGCTGACCAACTTTATCACCAACAAGGCAAACACCTTTCTAATGCCTTTCCCTCCAATTTCCATGTCAAATCTGTCTTCCGTGAGTTGGTCCCGGTCCACATGAATAGTTTCCATCCCAATCATTTTAAAAAATATTAATTGAGCCAAGCATACCGATGAATTCACTTTCAGAAGACGAATTTTGAATTCTAAACAGGAGAAATGTATTCTACATGCAACACATGCCCAAGAAATGACATTTTATCATCGAATACATGCCCAAGAATGATGTTCTATTACTGATCAAAAAATTGGTACATTACATTTGTGAACGTACCTTGATGTCCACAGATTAAGTGCCCTCTTTGCAACAATCTTTAGAGAGATCTTCCTTGGGAGTCACGGTTTTTCATCGCTTGAGAGAAGAGTCGTAGAAGGAACAAACGTAATCTTCCCTTTTGTTATGTTATTGATAACCGCTATCTCTTTTCATTTTTTATTAGATAATATTTTATCTTTTATTTTGAATTCTTAAGTAACCGCCATTTGAATATGGGCTGGGTTAACCCCACATAGGCGGCCCATACATATAACCCAACATCCATCACATAATACAGCCATAGGGGTTGAAAACTCCTTAAAACTCGATAAGGTAGCGGAAAATGGAAGATAGAGAAAAAATCGGAAATGTAATTATTGATATGTTCCGACTTTCTTCGGTATAAGCGGGCGACTCGGATGATTATCGATCACATCGTATGATCGTAAATTTATTGGAATAAATATTGGAAATGCCAATCCAAACTTTATTGTACTATGACACGACGGTTCCATCGTAAATTCATCTACTTGCTTCCGATCTTAGGATCCTGCATTATGGTTGTAACCGCATATCCTTCAAGAGACAAAAAAGAAATAGCATTTGTCACAGTTAACATCTATTAAGCATGTGATGAATTGGTACTTGTAACTGGGACAAGAACTGGCATGAACAATTAAAGAACGGAGCAGCAAAAATAAAAACCCTAATTAAACGAGATCATGTAACACATATTCATGTGTACCTGTGGGATCAGCAGGGTGGACTCTCCCTTGGAAATGGTTGTCAGATACATTCCTGATGAAATCACCCAAGAAAAGATCATTCATTTCGCTTTTTCTTTCTCTCTTTATCACTATTATTATCCATTTTTTTGGGTTCTTTTGTTATGTGTCCAAGCATGAAAGAACTCACAGGGTCTGCAAATCGCCCCAGAGAACAAGTTCAAGCACCTCCTTGGGTATGGTCCCGGTCAGCTTGTTACTGTTCAGTGTCCTGAAAAACCACAGCATAGGAGACAAATTCCCTCATGCCTTTGGACTTTCGAATCTGAATGTTTAGAAATGGGAAGATAGATTACTGTTTGGTGTGGGGTACGTACATGAACCTCAAGGACTCCAGTTGGCCCAGAGATGCAGGGATTGGGCCGGAGAGTTTGTTCTGGTGAAGCCCCAAGCTCACCAGCTTCTTCCAGTTCCCCATCTCCTTTGGAATGGTCGCGGTGATCTCATTTCCGAACACCATGCTGCCAGATTTGTGGATCATATATTGATATGAGCAGATGATACGAAAATAGACGTATGTTTTCCATTTGATTTCTTCTTATGCTGACCAAATGTTTAGCTGAGAGAGTTTGCTTACAAGTACTGCATATTAGCCAGGAGACCCAACTGCGGGATCAAAGGTCCGGAGAGTCCTGCATTTCCGAGGTCCCTTCAACCAATAACACAGATCACATCGTTTAGCAAGTCAAACAATACTCCGGCAAATGCCCTTAAGAGAATTGTTTAGTCCCCGTGAATCTATATCGCACGAGCCCAAATCTATGCAGGGTTCGCAACATTTTGATAGATCTTATGTTGGCGATAAACTAGAATGATCCTTAAAACGCTAAACAAACACCAACGTTTAGGAGCTTTGTAGGAGTGAATGTAGAAGCAAAACCAAAAGCTTACACTCGGACGACGGAGTTGTCGCTGTTGCAGGTTACATGATACCAGGTGCAGGGGTTCACCAGAGTCGGATCCCAGCTTCCTAGCACCTTAGAAGGGTCCATCAGCTTTGTCTTCCATTCATACAACACATCTCCTATTGTTTTTTTTTTTTTTCGGCACAAAAAAACTTCAAAATTTAGTCACAATGCTCATATATAGATCAAGTCCATATTCGACTTAAAAATGGTAATTTGAGAAGATATTGAACGGACCACGACACCACCGGTGTCGATGGGGAACAACATCGCGATTGAGTTAGAAAGAATCTGAAGATGAATAGGATGTCAATCCTAAGCAAAATTAGACAGTAAGAAAGTGAGGAATGGAGAACGTACCTTCCATGTTACAATTCGCAAATTGGATAGCAATTGCGGCAACAAGAGCCATAACTACCATCTTAGAACCCATCACGCCCAAGTATACAAGAAAACCACAAACTCCTCCTTGTGCATTTTACATGAGAAGATACGTCCCCCGTTTATACTTGCTAAATTTTGTTGCCACTTGAAGCTACCATAGCTAGGGAAGGATTCAAAACTATGAATTTTCATCACTACAGATCCCGACTATTACGTTACATTATTGACTATCTCCGTCCTCTTCCGATTATTTAATCAGTAGTTGAATGGAAAAGCTTCTGCAGATTGGATCGGCTGACTGAAAGTAACTTTGAATGGTCAGATAACACTTTCATGTCGCCCCATGTCATTGCTCGCTCTTCAGTCCTTTGACTACAAGGCATAGCACCACCAATGAATGCATGAATGAATGGATATCAATCTACATGGTTCTAGAATTGCACATGGCCAAGCGCAAAAAGTTGATTATTCAAATGATAATTTGGGACACATTCCAGAAGCGCCATCTTTGAATGCTCTATTGTCAAACTCCAATGGTCAAATAACGATCAGAGTCATGAACATGTGCATTTAACTTTTACTTCAAAAGTCTACTCCTTTAAGAATTGATTATCTGAAATCTCTTACTAAGGACAAACGCATTGTCTCATGTGAGTTCTGGTCCTTGTCTGCTGCAATAAGGGATAGAACATCAACATTAACTTGTTGCCCAAGCGTCTCGCATACCAAACAGCAATGACCAAACTGTGAAAGAGCAACAACCCACATCACGATTTATTTGCAATGAACAACCTACTCGTCGAGTAGTGTACGCCATACAGGTACGCTATACACTGAATTGATCTCCGCATTTAAGAATTTCGTGTCAGCGACCCCTTGAAAATATTCAGAAGCCAAAAAAGTGAACTCTGTTAGGTAGGCTCAAAATTGCTCAATCAGAAATTCATCTCGTGTCAAATGATAAAATACCGCTCGAATTATATAGTGTAAATTAAAGTAGGATTACATATATTTTGACAAACGGAAAAGCACCACCTCATTCAGGTGCGAGTTCAACAATCAGGAGCTTCCTCACGAGTCTTCACAAAGCGGCCTTTCACTCGCTTCCTAGTATCAGCTCTGGTCTTCCTCGACTCATACCGTATGTGCTTTTCAAATCTGTCCATAATAAGATTTAGTTTAATAGGTGCTACATATTGCATGTGAGTCTAGATGTAGCATGCCAAAGAAACAGGGAATAAGAGAAGCAATTACAGAATGTTACCTTCGAGTTTTTCTCTTCTCCTTGTAGCGGAGCATGGCATCGCCTCGGTGCTGAGCCAGCAACTTCATGTCGGCTTTCGATGTAACCACTGTTGTTGCGCTGTCATGATTCACGAGCAAATTTGGTTCTCCAACCTCGTATTCTTTTGAGCAAACCGAGGCTTCATATTTAGCAAGAGTTGTACCTGATGTGGGTTTGGGTACTAAATGGATATCACTCTCAATTATTGCCGAACCATGCCTTGCAATTGGGTTATTCAGAATATTCTGTAATTTGGCCAAATAATAACCGGGATTAACATCCATGCTGATCAATTCTCTTCAGTTCAGTCCACTAAAAAAGATTCTCAGTGTGACAGTATTCTAAAGTCATTAAGCGAGAACTAGGCTGAACAAATTGTGTATTCTCTTCGCATTAATTTTAGAGCAAGCAAATTCTTCACCTGCCAGCAATGGAAGAACTGAAGAGTAAGCATAATTATGGCTGAATTGCAAAATTCTAGGTGATCATCATGGTTAAGAGCCAGAGGGGAAGAGTAGGTTTTTCCATCAGGTTTAATTGTCAAAAGAAGCTCATGATCTCTGAAAGCGATGGACAAATACTTTCACAACTATTCTCAAAGATCAGTGAGGATCTCCCACTAAAACCAATCACTAATCTGTTTCCTTTTCTAATAAAGATCTTGTATAGTAGCAGGCTAAACAAGTGGTTGCCCGCTTATCCCAATCTTGCTTTATCAACACAAGAAAGTTATTTTGTTCCTTGGAAATTATGAAGTCGCTAAGAATTTCTTTCAGTTGTACAATTAGAAACTCCAGCAAGGTTTTGGTACAATGTTTTTCTGTCCATTTCTAACTTAAGGACAGGACAGGGCATGATAAAAAGCAGGCTACAATTGAGATAAGAAATGTCGCCTCAAGTCCAGACAGCAGCAACTACATACTTGAATTGACCAAGGCTACAAAAAACTGCTACTTATGATTGTTTCTCGTTAAGAATATACAGCCAAACTTGATTCTGACTGACCATAATGAAGGCGTAGAATTGACTCTAGCAAGCAAAATCAGGTCATGAACATAGGAAAAGCTTACATTCAATGATGCAATGTCTTCGTGCACCAAAGAGCAATTCATGTGGTACAGTTCGTCTGAGGCTTTCGACGTTAACAAAGGCACTTCTCTCATAAGTTCATCATAACTCTTGATCATGAAGCCTTCGCTGTTTGTACCGAATTCAACTTCCACTGGGCCAGGTTCTTCGTGACCCCTCAGCCGTCCCAAGTTAAAATCCCATATCTGCCGTATTCACAGCCTAATCAGCATCAAAGAATGTAAAGTATAGCAGTCCAATCAAGAAAGGAAATAACTGGGAATAAAAATCGCTCTAATGGGGGGAGCATGTAAGAACAGGCATTCCCTAACTATTATCACATTGACCGACCAAAAGGAACGAGGAATCCTACTATTTCACATTACAAGGATGAATCTTGCCGAGTAACCTGGACACCCATGTCTCAAGAGAAACCAATTCTTCAGAGGACCAACCGATGGTTTAGCTATAAACAATGGGCATGTAAAACTAAACCAGTGACTTCATAATTCATCAGAACCACACTGAACTGAACATCATGGAAGCTTGTGTTGGCAATTGGCATCATTCGATGAGAAATATATCAGTGAAGATGCAAATTCAACAGAAAGAAAAGGCGAGCAAAGCTGAAGCAAACAAGCCAGGCATGAACAAGAACCGCCGATCAGAAACACAAAAGAAGACCTGAGTGGTTTGATTGCTAGGATTGCAGTCCCAGATCATGTCCCTCTCGAGACTCTCTTCCCAATCCCTCCGAGACGTCAACATCAGCAACGACTCGAACGACGCGCCCTGACCCTCCAACAACCGCTCGCACCCACCATCGCTGCCGTCCGCGACCTCGCATTTCTCCGCCGCGCTCGGCGTCGCCGGCCCCAGATCCTCCCCTCCGCCGCCACCGCCCACCGAACAATCCCTCTCGAACAGCTCCACCAGCTGCTTGCGCACGGCCTGATTGCGCCTTCCGCATTGCGGGCTGCGGCTCTTCCCAATCTCCTCGGACGACCCCGACGCCTTGTCGTCCAGCACCGTCATTTCTTGAACGCCGAACCACGTCTCCGAGGCCAGGCCCCACAGCGAGGCGAGCTCGATCGAGGACGGGCAGCCCGAGAATCCCTCGGCGGCGGCGGCGCCGCGGGCGTGGGAGGCCGAGGCGGAGGCTGAGGCGGAGGAGGAGCCGCCGCCGCCGCGGGCGTCGAGGTCGCAGCCGTGGCAGAGGGCGAGGTTGCCGGCGGGGCGGAGGGCGGCGGCGGGCTCGGAGGAGCAGGCGTCGCAGATCCGGGAGCGGAGGTGCTTGCGGGAGAGGAGGTTAGCGGAGTGGACGAGGCGGTCGCAGGGGAGGCAGAGCCTGGCGGAGTCGGCCCCGCAGTAGAGGACGGCGGCGCGGCCGGCGCAGAAGTCGCAGGGGGCGGCGGCGGCGGCGGCACCGTCGCCGGAGGTTCTTGATCTGGGGCGGCTCATGACTCGACGACGGCGAAGATCATGCGTCGTTGATTCCGGGGACGGAGGAGGAGGAGGAGGAGGAAGGAGGACTTGGGATTCGGAGTGTGGAGAAGAAGGTGGTGATGGTGGACTGGTGGACTGGTGGACTTTCGATTTTTCTTCTTTTTTTTGGTGTTCATGATTTTATAAATTCACCTCCATTTTTTCTTCTGTAAATATTGCCCAAGCAAAAAATGCAGGCGGAGTGAAGAATATGTCACTTACCATTTTAATCTCTTTTTTTTTTTTGATGAGAAAGGTGGTTTTTTTTTTCTGATTAAAAAGTCATTTAACGATTTATGTGTCGAAAGGAAAAAAAGATATAGCTAGATATCAAACCGCAAAAGTAATAGAATTTTAGACTTTTTCTTTCTCGAAATATAGAAATCGGGGTATTATGTTATCTTTTTGGAAGAGAGGCAATGAATTCTAGAGTTCCCAAAAGTAAAAATCTAGATAAAAAAAATTTATTGTTACTTTCCACCGATTTATGGAAATTGGTTTTATCCTCTTTTCTCCTCCGTCTTTTGTTTTACATGAATGAAGCAAATTAACCATTGTATATCATAAGTCACCTGAGTGGGTTAGGATCTCACCTTAAGATCAGGAAGGCAGATGGATGAATCCCGAGCTCTTTATCTTGCCCCGCCAATCGACGCGTCTTTATCGGTGTTGCTTCGATCCATCTTCGGGTGCCGAGTTCGAATCCTTCTATATCTACTCAGTTCGAGCTTACCCGATGTCAAAAGAAGGGATCCTGCATAGGCGCTCTGTGATGGGTTTGCCTGCTGCAATCGATGCAAGTAAGGACAACACGGATTCCCCCTACGGTTGTAAAAGAATTTGTCAAATGGTAGATGATAGACATACTAGAATTAGCGGAGGGAAAATGACATAAATGGTCTTTGAACTTTGACTAAAATATCAAATGTGATCCCTAAACTTTAAATTTATTCGACGTGATCCTTAAACTTCGGACTAATGTGCAATATTGTCCCTGAACTTTTAATTTGTTCAATGTGGTCCCTAGACGTTTTGTACGTGTTCAAACTAGTCTTTTGACTATATGAAAATGTTTAATTTTGTTCCTGAACTTAAATTAATTGAAGAATAATATTGGATATTTCCATATAGTCTAGGAACCAGTTTAAACATTGACCAAAAGGAAAAGAAAGTTCATGGATAACATTACATATTGAGCTAAAGTTTAATGATCATATCGAACAAATTAAAAGTTTAAAGATCACATTAGATATTGAACCGTGATGTAGAGATCATTCATGTCATCGTCCCGTTAGCATAAGGTCAATACGAATTGACATCCACGTCATGGAAAGGGTGATTGAGGTGCGGAGAGAAATTAAATATTGCTAAAAGTGGAGCCCCCCTCGGGAGAAATATCTCCTAAAGGAACTTTTGGCTGAGCTGGCGTTTGTTGCGAAGTGGCTGACCTGACCAGTCTCGGCATCTTCCTTTCCTCCAATAATATTGGATGCCCGTCCCTGGCCCAAGGGCCAACTTTTTGCAAAGAGAAATAAATCTTGAGGAAAATAATAAAAAAAAAACAAAACAAAACAAACATTAGCGATAATATTAGTGAAAAAAGTAAATGTAAAATAAAAATAATCAAAATTTTGGGTAGATAAGCCATAAGAGAGTGAGGGGACCACTAGAGGAATTTATAAATCGCCACCACGTGTCCTCCACCTCTTTCGTGTAATTATTAGTGTGTTTGTTTGAGAAAAAAAAATTCGTGAGTATTTAATTTGCTGAAAATGATAGGTCAACGGGTAATCACTTACGGTCAAAGAGAATAGACATGCTTAAGGTTAAGAAAATAAGTTCTCTAACCTAAATAGAGAAAAATATTTTCCTAAAGGAAATCGTTTTCATTTATCGTGAAATTTGCTCCAAAACAAAGTCACCTTTCGAGAGAGGGGATTCGCGATAATCTTGGTAAATTACGCCGTTGTCCATAGCGTTCTCTTCCGATTGCCCTTTCAATTGTATTAGAATGCCACCTAGGGGTGAGCATCGGTCCAAGGTCACGAGACTGACCCTGGACCGACTTAACCCAGCCAGTCCTAGTCTGGTTCCCAGGGGGTTTGGGTTGGTCTTTGGTCCTATGATCTAGGGGTGTCAATGGGTCGGGTCGGGTCAGATTTCTATGATACCTGACCCAATCCGAATCACAGGGAGTGCATGCTTTTCTCTGACTTGGCTCGACCGAAAACGCATAGAACCCGAAGCGAAAATCCGGGTCTGTCCGGATCGGGTCGGGCCGGGTTTTTGGGTTTGCAGGTGGGGGGAGGAGCAGGAGGAACTCGGATAATGTCTGGACCCAACAGCAACGACAGTGCTGCGTCGTCGTCCCTTCCTCCTTCCTCTTCGGATAATGTCCGGACTAAATCGAATGCCACGGCTTCTCATTGACCTCCGGAAAAGCGGAACAGTACTCAAGTCCCGGTGAATTCTGATAAAGATCCAATTTTTAAGCCGAATCGACCGTGAATGCTTCCTCCGTGAGCGTAGCTTCACCGCCCCGCGAAACGCTACTTAGAGTTCCGCCGAGTTCGCCGCCCTCGGCGCCGAAGCGAGGCGAAGTGAAGGACGCGACGCGCAGCGCAAAGAAACGTGGAAACGCCAAAGACGATGGCGCCCGAAGTTCCGGCGTAACCGATGAGTGTTGCCATGCCGAGTTCGTCGGCTAATCTGACCATCTTCCACCGGCTTTCGAATTGCGGGCCTCTTCTTCTTCTTCTGGTAGTAGAGAGAGAGAATCGGAGTCCCGCGAGAGCGCGTCAGGAGCTTTCCCTTTCCTTAAAAGGATGATCGAGCATCGTCGCGACTCGGATGGTGAACTCAGCAGCGTCGAGACCTTGAATTTGAGCCACGCCAGTTCGATGAGCAGCAGCTCCCACTGACGCCCTGGCCATAAAGCCACACCGGTCCTCCACCGACTCGGCCTACTCCACCATGGTGAGAGAGAGAGAGAGAGAGAGAGAGAGAGAGAGAGAGAGAGAGAGAGAGGCGGCGATGGTCTGGTGAGGAAGAAGAAGATGCGAAGCGAAGAAGAAGAGGAGGAGGAGAATGTGCTGCGCTAGGGTTTTCTAAGTCACGGGCCGTCTGTCAAAAAAGTCCGGTCCGGACCGACCCGGCCCGAAATAGGGATAATATTCAAAATTTAGAGCTATTCCCAACCTAGAGGAGGCCCGCCTCGAAGAAACCCTAAATTTCCGGGCTGGGCCGGGTCGGTCCAAGCTGGTCCGGGTCGGGCCGGGCTTTTTTGACAGCCCTACTATGATCCTTGGATTCTGTACTGTGCGGGTTTGTTCTCGGTCCTGGGAGTTTAGGATTGGTCAAACCCGAACCAACTCTGTATATTATATATTATATATTATATGCTTTTGTCTATTTTAAATCCTAGCGTCTCCTCCTCTGTTCTCTTCTTTCTTATGCAGTTCAGTTTGCCATGTAAATAAAAAGTATAAAGTAACCTAGCCCTAGTTCGACAAAAAAAAAAATAGAAACCCTCTTCGCTCGTCTCCACCTCGCCTGCCCACCTCGCCTGGCTCACCTATGTTCGCTCGCCTCGCCGCTCGCCTCTCTTTGCTTGTCTCACTCGCCTTGCCACTCACCTCGCTCGACTGACAACTACAGCTCAACTGGACAAATATACTTTGTTAAGTATTAATTATGCGTGTTGTTTATTTTGTTTTTAGGTGTTAGGAAGTTTAAGTGAATATTTAAGAATGAACAAGATATGAAGTTGTATAATTCATGATTTATATTATGTATTTTGAAGTGTGAATTTTATGTTGTTACCTTATCTTATATTAATGTTTGATATTTACTGGTTTTTATAGTTTGGCTGCTTAATGTCGCGTTATTGATGGATATGTAATTTGAAATAGTATGTTTGTCTTTTCAAGGAATACAAAAAAATGAAACAAAAAAATAATCGATTGATCCTGGGTTGACTTTAGAATCGGACCAGACCCATAGGGTTGGTCCGGTCCTCAGTATCAGGCTCAACAGGGTCAATCCTCAATCTCAAAAAATGGGAACCAACAATGTGCGGGTTGGTCCTTGGGTACCCATAATGCCACCCGCATTGCCGCGATTAGCAAAAATTATTTATTAGTCAAGGGAAAAAGCTATCAAAAACCCTAAACTATGTCTACTATGACACATTTACAATAAACTTTTTTTTGTGACACAAAAAATCCCAAACTTATACTTATGTGACACATTTACCCTCCGTCAAAGTTTTGTCAATGAGAAGCGTTAAAAATCTGTCTTCATGGATGCTAAAAAGGAAACGGTATTGATATGGCACTCACACGGCTTAAGTGAAATAAAAATGATATTATTTTTGCTGAAAAATCATTTAATGGAATCTTGATGGAGGGTAAATGTGTCACATATATACAAGTTTTTATTTTTTTATGTCACTGGAAAAAGTTTAGAGTAGATTTGTCATGGTGAGCGTAATTTGAGGTTTTTAATATTACAAAAGAAGTTCATAAGGAATATGTCACGTGGGCATAATTTGGCCTTTTTTTTGTTGCTTTTTCATACGAACAAATTCAAAATCTATAGGTAATCGCCCATCAGGATCAGGGCTCTGGCTAACGTCTTACTAAATCCATAAATTAAGTAAGTAAGGTATTTCATGAACTAGGTTTTTTTTTTTTGGTCAGAATTTCATGAACTAGGTTATGCCTACTTCAAATGGACTTTTTATCCTAAAAATAAACATCCACATATTTATATCAATCATGAACAAACATCCAGGCCTTTCTCTACGGCTCTCACTTAAAAATTGGCTAGGTATTTCTCCATAGCCCACGTCCAAAAGGATGACTTTGCAGTACTCTCTCGATAAGATATTTGATTATTTAAAATGGTAAAGTGCGAAATACCCTTAATTACTTCTGTAATTCTTAAAACTAACAAAGTCTAAGATGGTCTGAGTGGTCGGTTTTTAGGTCACTTCCTAAAAGCACTCGCAAAGTGGGGTCTAATCCTCTTCATTCTCAGGCAAGCTCGTCGCATGTTTGCAACAAACTAGT